CGCAAAATTTAAAACTGCTTTATTTAGTCTTTTTCCTATGCATCAAAGTAGGACTAACAAGATGATTTCTCGGACTCTTTCTTCCGGTTCCTTGACGTCACTTGTCTCCACTGGTACCATCAGCAACTCAGGTTCATCTTCATTTTGTATGACAGACTGATCCACTCTGCTCCCAATGACCAGCTTTCTTCCTCATCATCATCTTAGGCAGAGGAGTGCATCCTGCTCATTAAATTCTTCGTTAAATTCCGACTCCTGAGGTGCCGGTTCCTCTTCCATTCCATCATAGGCATTTTGCTCTTCGTATTCCTCCAATCTCCTTTTCGCCTCCTCCAAGCGGGTAATGAGAGTGGTTTCAAACTGAAAAGATTTTGTTTCACAGTTTTATCTTAAATTTGAGGTGCTTTTTGCAACTTTTAATTGACACTGTAATCAATTAATGACTGAAGAAAAAAGGGAAGAAAAAAAAAGAAGAGAAAACGAAGTAATTACGTCGATTGTCTCGCTTATATACCTTTGGAATGTTTGGAGCAATACCGGCTCCCTTTTAAAAAATCCAAAAGAATTGCAATATCTGAATTTTCCGGGTTTGCAAATTTTCTGTAAAAGCAGCAAATTTATCAAATATTTATGAAGTATAAAAAATTTTTGACAGTTACACTTGAAGGAGTATCAATCGTCAATTAGAAAAGACTTATAATGGTATGATTTAATTCCAGTCTACCTAAAATAAGCCTGAAATAAAATAAAATATTGATTGGCATAAGAAAGGCATTGATATGAAATAATAAATAATTGATAATAGGAATCGCATACAATCAATGAATTGACAACAAGAAATATAATAGAATAATAATTGATCAGTCATTTTTTGGCATAATGCTGCTCATATTTTTTAAGTACATTTAATATCTAAAAGAAAATTAATTTCAATTTCAATAAATTTAAAACATGTTTTGACTTGTTTATAGTAAAAAGACAATTCAAACACACTGAGATGACAGTAAAAAATGGTCACTTCATTTATCAAATTGAACTATCTATTTTGCATACTGCATGTCTATTCATATTTTTTTTGATATCTTCTGATGATATTTCTTATTGATCGGATATGGTCATTTGTTTTTGAGTGATTAGAAAGTGATGTGAAATCTGAGTGATAAAATGATAAATTCATTGATTACATATAATAATTACGAAATTAATTATACATTTTAGATGTTTTCGTTTTGAATGTTTTAAACGTTTTAAATGTCTCAATTTGTATATTTATTCTATTGTATTGCTGCCAATCGTTGAAAAACAAATGCAATGCAACATTATCGATTATATCCGATCAATAATCTACTTTATCAGAAGATGTTCATAAGACACAAATAATTTTGTAATGATTAAATATAATCAGTGAATTATCATTTCATCATCGATCATATCCGATCGACAATAGATATCATCGGAACCACAACTACTTTTGTATTGAGTAAATATAATCACTGAATTATCATTTAATCCTTTGAACATCGCGATAATTTCTATATTTTCATTGTATTGCTTCTAATTACTCAAAATTAATTGCATTGCAACGTTATCGATCATATTCGATCGATAAAAAATATTGTTAGACTACATTTATAAAGCACAATAAATTTTATTTTGATTCAATATAATCAATGAATTATTATTTTATATAATAATTATTTTATGAATTATTATTTTATTCATGTCAGTTTATATTTCTCTGTTATTGTACCGCTTCTCATTACTCAAATCCAAGTGCATTGCAATATTATCGATTAAATCCGATCGAAACAGATATTATCAAAAACATTTGCAATATAGAAATAATTTTGAAATAATTAGACGTAGTTGATTTATTATCACTTTTTAAACGATTTACATATTTTTTTATTTGTATTGATTCTACTTATTCAGAAGTAATTGTATTGTAACGCTCTTTCATCAGTAATTTGCAGCAGTGAACTTGCTATCAAGTTTTCTGTATATGGTCTGCAGGTTACCTGCTTATTATGTATGTATGAATACTGATAAAGCTATTTATTAGGTGCGGAAGATGACACAATGCAAAGAACTTTATTCTCCAAAATAAAGAGAAAAACGATACTAATATCCATATGAAGCAAAAAATGAATAACTTATAAACAAACGATAACAATGATAATAACAGGAAACTATTAGCAATAAAATAATGAGCAAGTGACAAGAATTTATCTAACAGAAAATACAAATAATCAACCATATCAGAAATAACAGCGCCTTTTCCAACTTAAAATGCACCCTTCAGCTCCTTTTATGTTTCTTCTTGTATACTTTAACGAGTCACAAATCATGTAACTTTAT